TCTACTCCGGTGAACGAAATAAATGGTTCAGTTCGAAATTCAAATCATCCGAAGAAGGCTGGGGCGTACAACCGCAGAAACGTTGTGAATATGCCAATGAAGATGAGAATAACAGTCCGAATAATGTTATATATATGAGCTCTGGTAAAAACATGAATTGATAACAGCAAAATTGCAATATGAGCACTGGTAAAAAATGATTTCTGAAGACATTAGGTTTATAATACCCAGAAATTCATACCCAGATGTCCTCAAGGACACATGGCACAGTGGATAAAAGCGTTGATTAGATCCAGTGACAGGACCCAAAAAGTGTGAGTTCAATACCCGGTTAAGGCAGAGGGAAATTAGCAGGAGATAACTGACATCCATCAAACATGGCACGTGGAACTAGAACAGTCTACCCCAGTGAGCGTAATAAAGGGTTCATTTCGACAGAAGAAGGTGGTTGGAATGTCCAATGGCCGAAACGTTGTGATAAATATGGCGACATAGATGAGGACAATAGCCCGAATAATGTAAATAATTTATATATATATATATATTCTACATTTTCTTAAACAACTCGGCATTTCAAAATATAACAACAAAAGTACAACATAAAACGCACATGACACCGCCTCTAGTAATTATGTCCACAAAATGATGTATATGTACAAAAGCTGAGTATCATCTACCATTTATTCAATTGTGAAAGCAGAATAACATATCATATTTTCATTACTTCAAAGCTCACAAGAAAATTAAATTTCGGCATTAAGTAAGCCATAAGGAGTTTATATTCTGTTAAATACATCAACTAACCAATCTATATGGCAATGAATACTGGAAAATCATCTTACAGACGAGGAAGTAACTTGAGGCCACAGAAATGTGGCTGAACGGAAAGGTGGACGAAATATGAGAAAACAACATGGCTGCTTCTAATTAACATCAGAAAGAGACAGTTAACATCCGAATGTGCAGAGGAATAGCGAAAAATGTTTAAAAATGCTAAGCCAAGTATTAAGAAAAAGGAAAAAATTTAGCTGAAAGATATAATAATAAGAGAATCGAAAATCAAGCAGGTATATTATTGGAATAAAAAGTTACAGTAATAAGTTGAAATAAAACACACACACACACACACACACACATATATATATATATATATATATATATATATATATATATATATCAACAGATCTGAAATGCGAATAGGACATTAGAAACTAAATGGAAGTATTTTAATAGAGGATAGAAGGCGAATTGTGATAAATAAAGATGCCTTCTAATGGCTAAATAAATTAATAATAAAAAAAAACAGGAAAATCTCCTTAGGAACAAACAAAAGAGTAATGAACTGTGATGTAATTTTTCTCCTATATGGCAATGAATCTTGTGTATGACGATAAACTACATCCGGTAGCAATGCCGGTAATCGGAAGATTAGATTTTTTGAAGAGCGAGGATCCACTTCTTTATTACTGTTACTCCCAGGCCAACCCTGACCCGGACGGCTGTAAATGTTCGCGCCCAGCTATGAGGGAATAATGAATCTCTAGACAAAAACACTATGGGAGTATAAAAGTGCATTTTAATAGTAAAAAAGGCGATATATTTTTATATACAAAAGGACCAATAATACATATAATAAAATAGCCAACAATGTATTTTATCTGTAGTCGAAGGCAAACAATTGCACTCAAATAATTTTTGGTTGAATCCGTAAAATTGTGTACAAATTATTTAGATTTAGGAATGAAATAACACATGCCGCTAAACAAAATCAACCAATCAACCAATATGAACGAACTCTTTCATGACAAATATCCGTATATCATCCATTTCTTAAAGAACTCAAACGGGGTTTCAAAATATAACTTCAACAAAACTGCAACATAAAACGCAGATAAAATGGATGCAAGTCAGTATACAAAACAAACACAGAAACTAATCTATATTGGATAATTTTTTCACGTTCTAATGAACGTTAAGCCTGACGGTCAACGATTGCATTTGAAATTAAAAAGGAAAATTTCAGTAATGGATATCAAACAACAGTTTTGTATTTTTAGTTGAACCCGTGAACAACACACAGTTTTGTATTACTACGTAGACGCTTGAAGATGATCTTGGAATAAAATCGTAAGTGCTTGGGAAATGGAAAATAAAGACGATTTCCATATGTATACCACATTTATCATATTATCCGTGAGTCTGAACGGATTTTATTAAAAAATAAGAAGACATAAATATATATATATATATATATATATATATATATATATATATATATATATATATATATATAGATAGATAGAGAGAGAGAGAGAGATATAGACATTGATATATGCATATATATATATATATATATATATATATATATATATATATATATATATATATATATATATATATATATTTATTTTTTGTATGAATAATTCATGAATTCATAAATTATAATTTGCACCTTTAATTGAAATTAAAATAACTGATCCAACGTGCAACTTTCGGATAATAAGTGTGACATTACTGTAATTATTGAACAATATAGTTCATGCCACATTGACGGAAAATCTTCCAATAAAAAAGAATTCTCTTATATTTGTACAAAAACGCACAACCTTAAAATTTAATATTCAAACTCAGCGTTGCGACCGCACGTTCCAAAACACTAACACATTTCTCATAGCATTTTTTCGGATTACATCTCTATTTTCGTTGTCCTCTTATTACCGAGAAGTAAAAACAAGAACAAAATCTATTTCCATACCTGAGGATGTCTGTAGGAACAGACGAAAGCTTGTAAAAAATTAAAAAGACCTTATGCAACTGGAATTTATAAACAGGGATCATATCATTCATATACAGGTTTTGTGTTGGTGTATCTTATTGAAATTGTTTGCGAAGATGTATTCTCGCCATCTAAATCATTAACCTCTATATTTGTTTTTTTTTGTATGAATGATTCATGAATTTATAAATACATAGATAGATGTGTGTATATATATAATACTTATATATATATCGATAGATGTATACACACACACACACACACACACATATATATATATATATATATAGTGTTTAAGCCTTTTATTATATATATATATATATATATATGTGTGTGTATAGTGTTTAAGCCTTTTTTTTATTATATATATATATATATATATATATATATATATATATATATATATATATATATATATAATTACTTTTGAGCGTTATATTCAGTTGCTTCACGTGTTTTAGATAACATTCCTCTATCTGTTAAACAATGAAATTAATGTCAACCGGCCAAAAATCAAAAAGTGTAAAAAGTGTTAACGAATAAATGTCTTCTTTTATCCCTTTTTTCCAACACTTAGTCGAAAAGTTACGTATAAATTAAGCTACGATAATCGATAATTAATAAAAGCCAACTTATAACTTTCGTAGCAGAAACATAAAGTGATTTAAAATTATTTTTAATTCGATATTCACGATTTATAAGCGGGTTAGCATTACTTTCATCGTTTAAAATATCAACTAAAAACGTGTACTCAGTAAAATTGTTTTTATTCTTCTTTTTCTATGTGTCGTTGGAGATCATAAGGCCCCCGTGACATCTTTTGTGACAACTTTGTCCCCTCGTCCCTCTGTCACTCCATATACATCCAACTCTGTGTGTTCAATTTTTTTCTTCTTGGTTGTGACCGCATTCAACAAAAAGTAATAACGACATTTGTTTTTAAAGACACTGGCTGGGAGTTAACAACAATACGATTTCTCGCTTAACCCATGGGACCATTCCTTAAGCTTCGAGAGGTGGACTGCTATCTTACTAAATTCCGGGCACGGAAACGGACCCTTACATTTCCTAAATATCACTTTGGTCACTGCTGATTACTCACTACCTGTAGGACACCTTTTTACTGCTTGTATAGATAATGACTGGGGTCCCATCTACCATCCATCCACTTGTGTTCCAGAAGTTTTGAAACCACCTGAAAGCCACATGGGTGGTCAAATCTTCAAAGGACTACTTTTATGACTATCTAAAATTGTTGATAGAATTTTATGTTTGCCAATTAAAAGGCGAACTGGAGACATGCATCTTGAAAACCCAGGTATGGACTGGAGACGAAATTGTTACGAAAATCAGATAGCTGAGTGGAATTAAAAGGAGGGAGTTTATCTACTTATCTATTTGGATTCTGTGAGAGACCATACTCTTAAAATCCATTATTTCCTGTCATTTATAGCTCTTAAATTTTATCATATTATAATGGTTATATGTTGCTTTCCTCTGTCTTTCTTGCCTTCAATACGTCATGTGAGTATCAAATTTTCCAAAACTTCTTTCCTTATAACGACCCCTAGATATTTCAACTCTATTTCTGATGTCAAATTTAAATATCCTTTTTGCTTCTATTTTCTCTAAATCTTTGTCGCTGCTCCTTTGGGAGGTCCATTGTATTCTCAGCCTCCTTCTGTAGAACCACAATTCTGTTCCTTTAAAATCAGACTCGCCTTGACAGAAAACCTCTACGAAGCTAGCTAGCAAACCATTGTCGGACAAAGAGGCAGTTTCGGTAGTCCATATAATTTTATTTACTTACCTATCAGACGTTAATCGATAAACGTTACAGACGCCGATATTGTTTGGCTTAAGGTCAGGTTCTTTTCAAAGTCCAAACGAATTTTTTTATAAAGAGGAGTAATCTTGACTTAATGAAATGTATTTTCTCAAGAATAGTGGACATATAAAAATGACTCAATCGATAATTGTTGTCAAGAATTTGTACTTTTATAGTACGCAAAGTACAACTGAAATTAAGAGCCATCAAGTGGGGAATATTGAATAGGCGGCCTTAAACAGGTTAGCGTCTGCCTATTCATTGGCGCTAACAACATGATTAACCCGACAGTATATATACTGTAGCTGGCATTGCCTTCTCGTCAGAGAAGACATCCAGTCACTCGAACCGCTTCGTTCTCTTTGGTAGTCGACAAGCAGTAACCCCTACATCACCATGCCTAACTACACTCTCCATTACTTCAATGGCCGCGGCCGTGCCGAAATCCTCCGTATGATGATGGCCATCGCTGGCGTCAAATACATGGACAAGAGATATGAATTCTCCGACTGGGACCGCTGCAGGAATGGTGAGGAATTGTTTCGTATTCGTTAAATCCATGCGTTTCTCTAAATTCTAAATGTTTTAATGTTAACATTTTATGAAAATTATAAGTCCTTCAGTAACAGACGATAACTGGGCTGTTATTGCTCGTTAGTATATTAATCTTTCGTCTCTTAAGTTTCTTTTTAAATAATAGACGTAGAAATGGGGGTGTATTTATTTTGAAATATGCGCTCTCCATTTAAATCACATTAGCATCTATCTATCTATCTATCTATCTATCTATCTATCTATCTATCTATCTATCTATCTATCTATCTGTCTGTCGCAGTCTGCCTCAGCTATATCCCAGTATAATATCTATCTATCTATCTATCTATCTATCTATCTATCTATCTATCTATCTATACCAAACTATTTCAGCTATATCTCAGTGTATTTCTTTCTTTTTTTTCTATCTATCTATCTATCTGTCTGTCGCAGTCTGCCTCAGCTATATCCCAGTATAATATCTATCTATCTATCTATCTATCTATCTATCTATCTATCTATCTATACCAAACTATTTCAGCTATATCTCAGTGTATTTCTTTCTTTCTTTCTATCTATCTATCTATCTATCTATCTATCTATCTATCTATCTATCTATATCAAACTATTTCAGCTATATCTCAGTGTATTTCTTTCTTTCTATCTATCTATCTATCTATCATTCTATCACAGTTTGTTCGTAGCTATATTCTAATGTGAAAATCTAATCTAATCTATCTATCTATCTATCTATCTATCTATCTATCTATCTATCTATCTATCTATCTATCTATCTATCACAGTTTGTTCGTAGCTGTGTTGCAATGTGAAAATCTAATCTAATCTATCTATCTATCTATCTATCACAGTTTGTTCGTAGCTATGTTGCAATGTGAAAATCTAATCTATCTATCACAGTTTGTTCGTAGCTATATTCTAATGTGAAAATCTAATATATCTATCTATCTATCTAAAACATCATAAATATTATAACGTGACGATGTCAGGAAACAAATGTATTTAATTTAATCAGGGATTGAAAATATGCAGATGTATTATACATGGCAATCGCTGGTGTCAAGTACATGGATAAGCGATATGAATTTTCTGAATGGGACACTTGCAGGAATGGAAAGGGAGTGTTTTTAAATATATTATTCTAAGTTAGTTTTACTTTAATCTAGATGAATAATGTTTCAAAAAATTTATAGTATAATTCTAATAATCTAATAAACTTTAATTTAAATTTAAATTCAATTTTCTCTACACTTTTGATACCGAGAAGGACGAAAATCGAAATAGTTTTATAATTATTGTAGACGATTGGTCACTTTGATCTTCCTTCAACGATATACATTTTGAAACATTTTGAAACATTTAAAAACATAAGAATGGCCACCTCTTCAATAATATCGATATAAATATTCATTCACAAAATCACTTTCTTCGTGAAATAGAACTATTTTCATATTAAGAACACTAGTAACGCATTTATATATTCCAGATAATTACCCTATTTTATCAGTAAAACTTACGCTAATACCCGGCAACTAAGAACGAGTTTTTCCTGAGTTTCAATGTATGCCTATCGTAAAATCATTAGAAATTCTTTTACATTATAAGATTATAATTATATTAAATTATAAAATGTATTATAAAATATAAAATTATTACATAAAATAGCCTTTTATCAGTAATGCTTTCCTTCATTCCTGACCACTGACAATCCCTTTCTTCCACATTTTCAATGCATTCCTATAGTAAAATCATTAGCAATGCATTTCCATTATACATATAATGGCCCTATTCTATCAGTAATGCTTGCCTTCATTCCTGACCACTGACAATCCCTTTCTTCCTGATTTTCAATGAATTCCCATAGTAAAATCATAATGCATTTCCATTATACATATAATGGCCCTATTCTATCAGTAATTCCTTCATTCCTGACCACTGACAATCCCTTTCTTCCTGATTTTCAATGCATTCATATAGTAAAATCATTAGCAATGCATCTCCCATTACACATATAATAGCCCTATTCTATCAGTAATGATTGCCTTCATTCCTGACCACTGACAGTCCCTTTCTTTCTGATTATCAATGCATTCATATGGTAAAATCATTAGCAATGCATTTCCCATTACACATATAATAGCCCTTATCTATCTGTAATGATTGCCTTCATTCCTGACCACTGACAATCCCTTTCTTCCTCATTTTCAATGCATTCCTATAGTGAAATCATGAGCATTGCATTTCCCATTACACATATAATAGCCCTATTCTATCAGTAATGCTTGCATTCATTCCTGACCACTGACAATCCCTTTCTTCCTGATTTTCAATGCATTCCTATAATAAAATCATTAGCAATGCATTTCCATTATACATATAATAGCCCTATTCTATCAGTAATGCTTGCATTCATTCCTGACCACTGACAATCCCTTTTTCCTGATTTTCAATGAATTCCTATAGTAAAATCATGAGCAATGCATTTCCATTATACGTATAATAGCCCTATTCTATCAGTAATGCTTGCATTCATTCCTGACCACTGACAATCCCTTTCTTCCTGATTTCCAATGCATTCCTATAATAAAATCATTAGCAATGCATTTCCATTATACATATAATAGCCCTATTCTATCAGTAATATTTGCATTCATTCCTGACCACTGACAATCCCTTTCTTTCTGATTTTCAATGCATTCCTATAGTAAAATCATTAGCAATGCATTTCCATTATGCATATAATAGCCCTATTCTGTCAGTAATGCTTGTCTTCATTTCTGACCACTGACAATCCCTTTCTTCCTCCTTTTCAATGCATTCCTATAGTAAAATCATTAGCAATGCATTTCCATTATGCATATAATAGCCCTGATCTATCAGTAATGTTAAGCATTCCTTCCTGACCATTGGCAATACCTTCTGTTCCTGATTTTCAACACATTCTTATATTAAAATCATTAACAATGTCTTCTTTTCTATATATTGTAGTTAGTTACTATTTTTTGTTTGGATTGAGAATATAACTTTATCGTTGTAAAGACAAACAATATTACGAGATTAAATATTTCATTTAATAAGTCATTGTATATTCGCTTCTCGACTGAATGTGCGTGTATTTGGGGACTTTCTTCCTGCGTGGATCTTATTCTTGCTAGGATGTGCGAGACTCTCTGGGTTTTACTTAATATTTAAATAAATTTAATTTAATTTTTTTTCATATCCTTTCTATTAAAACATCATAACTTTCCGAAATAATATTGAAATAAATGTAATTTAAATTTGTTTTTAAATATTTTATAAAGAATATAAATTTAAATAGCATAAAAGGTTTGAATATCGATTTCCCTTTGCGATTAATGTAATATATATAATTTTTTATTATGCTCTTCCTTAGATAATGTTGAAGCTGATTATATGTGGTTTTAAGGGTTTAAATATTACAGTTATTCTTATTTAAATTACGAATGGGATATTATAGAATAAATCAGCTTTTTACAAACTTTTTTTTTTACTCGACCAACAGAAAGAACTATCTTTCGCATTGCGAACCTACGAGTAATAAACTAAAGACAAACTCTGTTCAATCGCTTCATTTATTTTCTATCAACAATTTATATATATATTTCTTACGATCCGCACATATTACAATTGCATGTATCTATTTGTATTATCTATTTGTATAAATAGAAGATTATTACTTCTAAAAAGAATAGCCTGTTCTTAGATTTCGCCGAAACAACAGCCAACATACAGCAAAGTTCGAAACTTCAAATGAATACACTACGTCATCTTACTACCCCAGAAAGAATTTACCGGTAGGCGACTTCGGCATTGAGTCATGAAATTCACTTTTGGTCTTGACTTTAGATTCAACTGAATTTTTCAACAATGTTAATGGCTTTCAGTAGCCATGAAGACAAACACACTGCACACCTTCGTAGCTAAGTTTTGGCGTGAGGTCTCGTGAGGTCTCCTCGTGAGAGAGAACTGACGTCATTCAGGGAATAGTCAACGAGACCAGACTATATATATATATATATATATATATATATATATATATAGATAGATAGATAGATATAAAATTATATTTTAAAAAATAAAACATAATACGAGCTTACCACGGTGATAAATTAGCGATCATTTATGAGTGCTGTGTAATGATTTAAAGTTGTTTATATTCTACACTTTGCTCTCACGTTTTTCATTTTTCTTTTTTTGTCGTGACCCATTTTATTTATCTCGCGACCCACTGAAAGCGTCGGGGCCCACAGTCCGAAAAACCCTGGAATAGATGGATGTTATGTTAAAATAAAATCATTTTAAAAAACATGGGCTGAAATGAATGCCGTTAATTGATCTTGAAATTTACAGTTCATTTTTTTGTCTTTCAGATTTCCCCTGCAGGTACTTGCCCTGTCTGCAGATGGACAATGGCGACATGATGCCCGAGACTATGGCCATTTGCAGGTATTTGGCCCGCGAACATGGTGAGTGAAATATAAAAACGACTTGTCTCTCAGTAATTTGACCCGCATATTAATTCGTATTGACGTATTCATAATTAGTGATGGTTTTGAATTCATAATATATGTTAAAGATGTGGTATCCAGAAATCCATAAATCAAGTGAAAATAGCTTGGTGTTTGGATCCTTTGTAACAGATTAAGTACAGGGGATAAGATATGGGTGTAATGGATAGTGGCTCAGAGTGAGAATTCGGAGAGGCGAGTTCAATTTACAGTGGAGTTCCTTACATTCATTTACATACCTATAACCCTGAAAAAGCGGTTAATCCATCACTTCTCCCCCAGCAATGGGTACATAGAACCCAACCTTGGATCTATTGCATAACTCTATAGCAACCAGTCTGGGAGATGGGAAATCACCCAGGAGAGCATAGGGTTCGGTCAGGAAATCTTGGCCAAGACACACCACAACTGTAGTATATATATATATATATATATATATATATATATATATATATATATATATATATATATATGTGTGTGTGTGTGTGTGTGTGTGTGTGTGTGTGTGTGTGTGTGTGTGTGTGTGTGTGTGTGTGTGTGTGGCCCTTATGGTTTAAATAGGTTAGGGGGGTCGTAATCATTATTGTGAATATGTCCGGTTTAAAAGTGGCAAACAACATTTTTACACACAAGGACAGAGAGGCACTCGAGGTAGAGATATATTGGGTAAGAGGCACAGTTTATGTGGAGAAGATAGCGGCTTAATTCCAGAGTTGAACTGGCTAAGCTTGTAGTAATCAGGGAAGCATCCTCTTGGGAGTCGGTTCCACAAAGCAGCGGTCCCTGGGAAACTGTTTAAGTCGTAATTCCTCCCTAGTAATATAATGCGAAGGGAATGAGGGTGATTCTCTACAATGTGTGTAACATGGTGGGTTTTAGACGTGAAGGTTACAACTGGTGAACGAAGGAATAGTAGTTCGTATGAGCAGTTCCCATGAAAATAGCGATGCAACGGCGAAAGGCTTCGGATGTGGAAGGAGTTGCAGGTTGTGAAAATAATTTGTCGCCCAGAAGGATACGGAGACGCTTTTGGAGTCTATCGCGAATGAAACGTGAAGACTGGGCATTTTTATTCTAATCTGTTTCTTTTAAACGTAGAAGATAGCAGTATGAGTCAGGTACATAGACACGGTGAGTAATGGATAGCGGCCCGGACTGAGGAATCGGA